GAAGAGTGGGGCGGTGTCCTCCAGGCTATCATGCTAGCTCTGGAGCGCCCGGCGGCGCTGGTCGCTTCCTTGCGGCACTACCCAGAACTAGGGCAGCCGTCAGCGGGTGGCACAGCTTCGCGTACATTCCGCAGGCAGATCCCGGACAGCGCAGCGTGCCGCCGGGACGCTCTAGTGGCGTTCGCGGGCCATGCTGCGGCGGCGGTCGGGGTCCGCGCCCCGAGCCGCCTTTCGAGGCAGCTTGGGGGGCCACCACCTAAGGATGTCGACCCGTTTGAAGATTCCAGAACACGCGGCCACGGATGCGGCGTGGAGGTCCAGGGAGGCGGCATTCAGGAAACACGCTTCTCTTCATCTTGACTGCGACCCAGAGGCGGCGGAGGGAAGGTTCTCGAAGTGGCTCAAGGCAGGCCCGTCTTGCCGGGTGGCCTTGCTGGGCGCGGATTCTGGGGCCTCCCTCAGCAGGGGCAGATGCTGCGAGTGCTGGTGCAGGACCTCAGGGGCGCTCGAACAACGACTTCCCGAGGGACCCAGAGGCGGCCCGTCGGTGCGAGCAGGACCTGGGGCACGCGTGCGCGGGGCAGCGTCGGGGCCTCGCTGGGGCGCGCCGCTGCAGCTCCGAAGGCCAAGGTCCTGGCGCGCCAGCAGGTGGCTGCCGAACTCGGCGACCTTGCATGCCACATGGGACCACATCAAGCCTCTGGTCTCTCCGCATCTGCGCCCTCCTCCACGAGTGCGGCCACAATTTTGTTGGGTCCAGTGTCAATCCGCTCTGGTGCAGCCGCCGTGTGGGTGGGCCCGAATTTCGTGAAGACTCAGGTCTGGTGCGGCAGGTGGTAGGGGGGGGGCGTCTCCGACCCCCTGTCCATCGCCATCGCGGCGGCGCTCCTCGTGGGGCTCAGGAGGTACCGAGGCCTCGCCACATACCTGGCGCTCTTGGGCCTCAAGTGGGGCTTCGACTCTGCGGGGCGCGCTGGCGCGCTCCTGAATGCGCGCAGGGCCTGTCGGAAGCGTTCGCGCTCGCCCGCGGCACCGCGCAGGCGCGTCGGCGTAGCGCGCAGGCGTCGAGCGCGCTGCCGCGGTACCTGAAGGGCGACCTGACGGAGGCCGCCCCCGGAGGCTGCAGGACATGTCTGCCGCGGCGGGCACGGGGCGCGCCGGTGGAAGCGGCGGGCTCGATCGAGGGCCCTCCAGCGCGGGAGGCCGACCTGCGGGCGCGCCGACGGCGAGGCGGCGGGGCGGTCGAACCATGGAAGGGCGAGGCCGCGACGCAGCCTTGCCGTGCTCGGTGGACCGCGCGGCCGCGGTCGAGCTCGGTGGCGCGCGCGAGCTGGGCCCGCTGCAATGCATTGGCGACGCCGCGGCGCCCTGCCCGTCCGCGGGCGCAGTCATGGCGGTTCTGGAGCAGCCAACGCGCCCCGCATCCGCGCGGCACGCCCTCCGGGAAAGGCGGCCTTCAATTTCGGGCCAGGCAAGTCGGAGCGCGCGGAAATCATTGGGAGCGTGGCGCTTCACGCGGAGGGCCGCGGCTACCGCGAAGCGACCTGCCGCGCACTCGTTGGGATCGAGGTTGACTCTGGCTTCACGTTCGTGCCGCACTCGCGGGAAGTGCTGGCCAAAGGCAGGGCCGCGTTTGAGGATTTTTCCAGGCGTGCGGCGCAGGGGGCTTCCCACCCCCTGCCGCGACCGCGCAGGTCTCGCTGCGCGCGGAGCCGGGGATGCTGCGTGGCGCGGCGCTGATGGTAGGAGTCGAGGGCATCGAGAATAGCCTTAACCGGCTCCAGTACCACTGGGCGGAGTTACCTTTGGCTGCAGAAGGGGTCCCAGGCTGAAGTGGGCGCTCTGCCAGGCGCAACGCGGTTGGGAGCTTCGCCTCGGGACACGCGCGCTGGAACGGGCGTTCGCGGAGCGCGCGCGCGCCCGCGCCTGCGGGTCTTGCCGCGAGGGCGCCCGCCAACGCTACTTCGGGAAGCGGCGTGGAGCTCGACCGCACACATGTGGCGGCAGCTGTTGGGCCAGCGGATGGCCGACATACCAAGGGGGCGGTTGCCGGACATCTGGGAGGTGGAGGGGCCGGCGATGCTTGCGGAGGCCGCCGCGACTTCTGCCGCCGAGCGCCAAGTGGTGCCGAGGCGGTGCAAACTGGAAGTGGTGCGGCCAGCGCTGCGAAAGCACGGCCAGGTGTCACCTCAGTTGGCCGCGGACAGGCGCAGCCCGTCGCCGGGGGCGACGTTCCGCGAGCTCCAGGCAGCGACGCAACCGAAGTCGCGGGCGGAGCTGGCCACGGAAGTCGCCCCGCTCGCGCACCTTGCCGCACGGAGGGCGGCGTGCCGCGTCGCCGGCCGCTGGCCTCCGAGCGGGTGGCCGTCTCCCATGCGCCGCGCGCGTGCGAGGGCGCTCTCGCGCTTCTCTGCGAGCTGGGAACGGCTGCGGGCGCGCTGCCGCGCGGGCCGCAGCCAGAGCGGATGAAGGCATTGTTTGGGCCATGCCACGGGGCCGCTCACATCCAGTATGTGGGGGGTGTTTTGTTGGGCTGCATGGGACGCAGGGCGCTGATGGACACTGGTGATGGCTGTTGATTCGTGGCCGCTGGGTCTAGGCAGGGCTTGGTGCTGGAACCGTAACTGCGGGGGTCGGATTTGACCTCGTGGTGACGGGTGCCAGGGCGATGCCTTGCCAACCGGACACTCAGCGTCTTCAGCCTTGTGGCTCGTTCCTTCCGCGGATCTGGGTATGTCCGCTCTTACGCGCGGCTACGCCATCATTTGTGTGCATGCATGTGTTTAGGTGATTGTTTGGTCACTTTTTCATGTAGTCAGTACTTCGTGTAAGCTTGTATTATTTCGTCACGGTGCTGATCTGCGCATTTATATTATCATGCCCACCTGGTGTGCGGGGGGAAACTGGCCGGGGCTGGCGGTTGAAAAACCACCGGAACAGTCCCCGCCAGGCGCCCAGCTTGGGATGCGAAATGGGACATGAGAAACGAGGAGGAGGAAGATGATGAGGAGGAGGCGTAGAAGGGATGATGCTGATGATGATGATGAGGAGGAGGAGGAGGAGGAGGAGGAGGAGGAGGAGGAGGAGGAGGAGGAGGAGGAGGAGGAGGGGCGGATGGACGAGGCGCCGAGGCCGCTGCGGGGCAGGAGGCGCCGGAGGAGGGAAGGAGAGCCGGCTGGGGGGCTGGGATGGCCCAGCACGGGAGGAGAGGAGGTTCGAGGTTCTGGGTTTGAGCATGTTTTTGTTGCCTCGTTCGGTCTCCAGGAGCTGTTTGTTGGCCCCTGGACCGTCTAGAATGAATCCGGGATGAGTAATCGCGCCAGGCGTATCCCGGAAGGGATCCAGGGGCAGATTTTGAGCAGATTTGGCATCATCTCTGTGGGCTAATCCATTATCCAGCTCATGCCCCCTTGGCAGCCTCCAAGGAAGAGGTTGGAGGAGTAGGGTGATTTATCCAGGCTTCCCAAATGGGTTCAGAGTAGATGGGGTCGGGGGGTCGTGCCCAGTTGCCCATGTGTCGGGGATGCGGCCCCTTGTGGAACCCGAGTTTCTCCACGCCGACATCGCCAATGCATCGCTGATACATCGCCGATGCTTCGCCGATGCTGCAACGACGATACCGCGCGATCCTCCCACCCTGTCTACTCTGACCCTGGCTGGGAGGCCTTTAGATAAGGATGTTGAAAGAGGGGGCCTGGAAGGCAGGTCGGAGGAGGAGGAGGAGAAGAAGGAGGAGGAGGAGGAGGATGAGGATGGGGAGGAGGGGGAGGCGGAGGCGGAGGAGGAGGAGAAGGAGGAGGAGGAGGAGGAGGAGGAGGAGGAGACGAAGGAGGAGGAGGAGGAGGAGGAGGAGAAGGAGGTCGGAGGAGGAGGAGGTTGGAGGCGGTGGGGCGCGCTGGCCCCGTCCGCATGCAGCCTCTCGCCGAGTTCCTGCTGATGCCCTTGCGCTGCTCCGCATCCTCTCCTCCTCATCCGTCCTGCCCTCCCACCGGCCATTCAACAGAGCAGCGCCCCTTCCCAGACATCCGATGTTTTTTTGCCCCTTCGTTTCCAGAAGTCCCGACCGTCTCCCCAGGGTAGGCTTTGCATCCTAAGTCGGTCCTTGACGGTCGACGGTCCGGGGGCTGCCCGTTTCCTCGGCTGCGAATCCATGACCACCAATTTCCCTGGCCCGACTGTCATCAGCACTTGTGCTGCCCTGCGCTGCTTCCGCTTTCCCTGGGGCCCGCCCTGTCCCCGACTGTCTCCGAGCGTCCCCAGCCTTGAGTCGCAGCCAAGTTCCTTGGCCGTCTCCGACCCCTATAGCCCCCGTGCGTTTTTTTTCGCTGTTCGGGATCCACGCGCCTTTTGCATGGTTTCCGCTTGCACGTGAGGGGACCATATCGGTTCTGCAAGATCTGGCAAGTTCTTGCTGAAGCGTGGCTGGTGGGGTGGCATACCAAAGGACTGCCAGCGCAGGAAATTGGGGGACAACGATGTGTATCCGGCGTCAACCCAACATATTAACTTACACTATGTGCGCGTCGCCCCTCCAGGGGCGACGCGCGCACCGAGTAGTATATCCGTCGTGGCGGGCGCTTTCTGGCCACACCGCTCGGGAAACGATCTATTACAAGATGGGTATACTATATATATATATATATATATATATAGATGTTCGGGCCGGACGCGCGCCTCCGAGGAGGACACACAGTATTCGTGTGTCTCTGTGCGTCCCATGCATTTGTGTCTGATTGAGAGTACACCTTAGGCGATGCTTAAGAAAACTTAAGTTTTCGGCCAGAGTCTCGATTATTTTTCACGTTTCAATGTAAATCTTAAGATTGTAATGGGAATGCTGGGTTTTTTTATTCAAGTTCTGAGACTATGAATTTCTGAACCCATGATTTCTTAAGCATTTCGCAGGGTGTAACGCCCAGGCATCGCGCATCGCGCTCGCACCGTCGCTCTTTGGGCCCCCGGGTGGAGCAGCGACGGCCGCGGAGCCTCGCCCCCGCGAGGCTGGCACAGGCGCTGGCGGGGCCTCCTCTCCCGCTTCCGCGAGGAGGAGGACTGAGCTCCCGCGGGCGCGCGGGGAGAGGAGGCTCTCTGCCGCCCCGCAGGGCAGGCAGCCATGCAGGCCCAGGACAGGGGGAGGCGAGCGAGGGGGGGAAGTGCGGAGGAGAAGGCCTTCGCAGAAGGCGGCGGAGCCTCTCAGAAGCCCTCGGGCCTTCGGAGAGGTGTTCTGTGTCTTCGGGGAAGGCTTAGACAACTTCTCAGGAGGCCAGGGCACTTCCGAGCCTTCTGAGAGGGCCTTCTCCTCATCACTTCCCCCCCGGGCGCGCCGCCTCAGGACGGGGGAGGCATGTCCCCAGAAACACCCTCTGGCCGAATCCAGGCCCTTGCGCTCCAAGGTGCTTGTACAGCTGTGCCAGCTGCGGCTTGCGCACACTGCATTCTGCTTGCGAGGCGCTCAATGTTTCACCAGTGAGTTTGTTCCCAGAAGCGCAGTAGAGTTAGGCACCACATATTCAGAGCGCGAATATAAATGCAAATCGCTTTGTTTCGCCAGCTCTCTTGCCGTCCCAGAGCCACCCCCCTGCTTGTCACACTGGTGTGGCTCACTCCTGCCTGTCGCATGCCGATCTACTTGCCATGCTGTACTTATTAGGTTGTTGGGGCGTAAGTGAGTTCCTCGTGCTTGCTTGAGACCTTCTGCCCATCACTTTACCCTCCACGCCCGTACCCCATATCTCTTCTACTCGGACTGTGTCTTCAGCCCAGATCCTTCTTCAAGAGGCCTTCGCCATCCTGCCGATACGGGGGTGAGAGAGCTCGCGACGATCACGGAACCCATCCTGCTCTTTCGGGCTCGGATGCGTGGGCCAATCATGCGGCCTTCTTTTGGGGCTGGCAGGTGTCTCTTGAGACCATCGGAGGAGGGATCGTGTTCGAGGGACATGGTCTCTTGGGGACCACCTGGGAGCGGCTGAAGGCTTCTTCTGGGCCTGGTGGACGCCTCTAGCAGCCTCCGGGGGGGGTTCTCGGGCGCCTGCTGGCGGTCTCGGGGATCTTCTCGGGGCGGAGGGCACGAAAGGTCAACTCGAGTTACCTCTTTTGGGTCCTTCTTGGAGCCCTGTTGGGGTCCTGGTTGGCCGTCTCGGGGCCTTTGGCGCCTCTTGAGCCGTCTTGGGAGCCCTTTGGGCCGCTTTGAAAGATTTTGCGATTATCTTGAGCCGTCTTGGACGCTATTAATACAATGGGCCGCTTTGAAAGATGTTGCGGACCTCTTGAGCCGTCTTGGACGTGGTGGAGACAACAATTGCGAACCTGCAAACGAAAAGCACATCTTACCCAGGTGTAGAGCTTAGTTTGCTTCTTGGGGCCCGAGTCATGGAGGCTTTTTGGCCCGCTTTGAGGCTATCTGGAGTGGTTTGGAGGCCGTTTCGGCGCGTTGGAACAAAGCTTGAGCAAGCTTAGATGGGACCTTCGGCATCTTCGAGGCCACGGATTCTATTTTTGGAGGCTCCGGAGGCCCCAGGGGTGCGTTTGGAAGCTCGTCTCCCCGCCTGCACCCACATCAAACGCGGCCTGGGGGAGGGAGAAAGTGGAAGGGGGCCAGCCAAATATCTCACGTGCCTTGACACCCCTGGCAAGCGGTCGTCGGCGGAATTGGGTTCTCGCTACCATCCCAAAGAGGGTAGTGCTTCCCATGCTCACCCTCCCTCTGATCCAGCTGCCCGCGGTAAGTCCCGTCACCGTGCCAGCCCAGCATTCTGGGTGTCGACTGTTCGAGTGGGCACGGAAAGCCGTCACGCGTGACAACTCGTGTCTCCAGGTTCTGGAGAGCCGTGATTGAAATGATGGTGATGATGGTGGTGATGATGATGATGATGTTGATGCTGAGGTTGATGCATATTATGATGCTGATGCTGATGATCATGGTGATGATGCTGATGATGATGATGCAGATGAAGGTGATGATAGTGGTTATGATTATGATGATGGTGATGATGGTGCTGATGGTGATGGTGATGGTAACGGTGATGGTGTTGATGATGATGGTGATAATAATGGTAGTGGGGACGGTGATGGTGATGATGCTATGATGGTGATGATGGTGATACTAATGGCAGTGGTGATGGTGATGATGATGCTGGACATGATGATGATTCAGTTGACGACGATGATGATGCAGATCATGCTGGTGATGCTGATGATGCTGACCATGTGGATGATGATGAAGATTATGAAATTGCTGGTGCTGCTTATGACTATGATTATGATTTGGATTATGGTGATAATGGTGATAATGGTGATGATGACGATGACGATGGCGATGGCGACGGTGATGATGATTCTCATCACGCTGATGATGCTGATGATGATGCTGCTGCTGATGATGATGACGCTGTTGATGATGATGACGATGGGGATGGTGCTGATGATGATGATTCCGATGATGATGCTGATGATGATGATGATGATGATGATGCTGATGCTGATGCTTATGCTGATGATGATGATGCTGACGCTGACGCTGACGCTGATGCTGATGCTGATGCTGATGCTGATGCTGATGCTAATGGTGGTGATGATGCTGCTGTTGCTGATGACGGTGATGACGCTGGTGATGATGATGGTGATGTTGATGAAAATGGCGATGGTGATGGCGATGGTGGTGATGGTGATGGGTATGATGGTTATTATGCTAGTTATGATGAGTGATGAGGAGCTCGTTTGGGCCGTCTTGGAACTGCCTTGGCCTCCTGTTAGGCAGTCTTGGAGATCCCTTGGGGCCCTGTCTGGCCGTCTTGTGCGCCCTGGGGCCCCCTTGCGCCGCCTGGGGGCTCTCTTGGGCCGCCTTGGGGCCATCTTGGCCGTCGAATGGCCCTGTGAGGCCGTCTCTTGGGTCTCACGGGAGGCCCTCGTGGGCCATCTTGGGGCCGTTTTGAATGGCTCTTGGGCCATCATGTGGTCGGTTCCTTGTTTGGTCATCTTGTGACCCTCTTTGGGGCCTTCTGGGCCGTCTTGGGGTCATCATGGAGGCTTCCTGGACCATCGTGAGCTTACGGAAGCCCCAAGATGCGGGAATGCAAACATTATTTACACACCCAAGGGAATTTAATAATGTTGGTGTCTTGGGATCTTGTTGGGAATCCTCTTTTGGCTCTTCTGGGATCTCTTGGAACATATGGGTCCCGGCTTTGGGCCATCTTGGGCCGTCTTCGAGGCATCTTGGGCCATATTGATTGCCTGGGTTGACTGCCCGGGGCCGTCTTGAAAGTTTGGGACGCGGGCACATTTTTTGTTACGAGGAATCGTGGCTTCGGGAGTAGGGTGGATGCACAGGAGGGTATGCATGTAGAGGGAGGGGCCACGTGCTAGAATTAAGAAACCTCGGCAGACAGCACTCGGCATCATATCACGCCTCAACATGCCATGGCATCTTGTTGTGTCATCCTTCATCTATCCCTCTCTTCGAGCACAGTGTTTTTTTTTCTGCGCGGTATGGTTCACATTCCACCGTGCCGTCTGAATATCTGTTGGTTTAGGTTGTTGTTCAAATCATTCCCTCTGCCTCCGCCTTAGGACCTGAGGCAGATTCAGCCAGTTGCGTGGCCTGCATTTAGCAGCCATGTGCGGCTTTGTCGCAGTAGCGCGTGTCATTGCGATGCAGAGCTCGTCGATCAGCACGTTTCCAAAAACGTCAGTGCGTTGGCATGATAGTGGAGCGCAGTTGAGGGTTAAACGCAGGTGGCTGGTGTGGAAGGTTCAGCGAGAGAGACTTAAGCAGATCCTTGGGCCGGAGGAGGACAAGTCTGTAGATCCGCTTCGCTCCTTCCCCTCCCCCCTCACAGGGAGGGGGGAACACAGTCAGAGGAGGAGGAGGAGGAGGAGGAGGAGGAGGAGGGGGAGGAGGAGGAGGAGGAGGGGGAGGAGGCAGGATAAAGCTAAGGTGCCGCTCGCGTATATCTGACGTCCTACCCCTCCCTCCCATCCCTTACCATGGCGCTGATTTTGTCTATCCGCGGGGTGACGCGTGTGTCGATAGTGCGGACCTGTGGCTATTTTCCCGGGGGCGCGCGCGTGCGTTAGTGGGTGTTCGTGGTTGCACGTGCGTGCGTGTTTGCGGTGCGTTTCTTCTTCGGCTGTGTGGTGGTTGTCGTGGGGTTGGTGGTGGTGGTGGTGGTAGTGGTGGTGTGGTGCGTGGTGTTGATGGTGACATGGTGGTGGTGGTGGTGGTGGTGTTTGTGCTGGTGCTGGTGCTGGTGGTGGTGGTGGTGGTGGTGCTGGTGGTGGTTGTGATGGTGGTAGTGGTGGTGGTGGTCGTGGTGGTGGTGGTGGTGGTGGTGGTGATACGGCGCGGTGGTGGCGGGCGGATGGGCGCGCGAGAAAGAGGCCCGCGCTGGGGCGAGAACGCCATCCTGAACGACGGAGGCCAAACACCGATCCGAAAATGAGGCCCACGCTGCAGCGGGAGCACGATTCGGAACGATTCGGGAGCAGAAATGAGGCCGGCGCCTCAACGAGAGCAGCATTTTGGGAAAAAATGACGCCGGCGCCTCAGCGAGAGTCGTTTCCCGGGATTTCCCGGGCATCCTGTGTGTAAAAAACAGTACGCGGAGGGTGCGCGGCCATCACCGGACGCCATCAGGGGAAGGATTCGGGAGCAGAAATGAGGCCGGCGCCTCAACGAGAGCAGCATTTTGGGAAAAAATGACGCCGGCGCGAGAGCAGCATTTGGGGAAAAAATGACGCCGGCGCCTCAGCGAGAGTCGTTTCCCGGGATTTTCCGGGCATCCTGTGTGTAAAAAACAGTACGCGGAGGGTGCGCGGCTATCACCCGGACGCCATCAGGGGAAGAGGGAGAGTATATTCATATTGAGTAATTGTGGAGGAGGAGAGGAGGAGGAGGTGGAGGAGGAGAGGAGGAGGAGTGAGGAGGAGGAGGAGGGAGGAGGGGGGGCAGGAGGAAGGAGCTTTGTCTGTAGGGCTGCTCCGTTCTGAGGGGGACTTCCTGCAGCCTCCGCAGGACCCCGCGCCGACGAGTGGTGACGGTCACTCCGCCCAGGCGGCGGCACGGCACCGCACGGCACCGCACGGCACCGCGCACCCGGAAAGCCGGCACTTGGGCAGTGCAACCGTGAAGCTGTAACGTTCCTCCTCCTCCTCCTCCTCTCCTCCTACCTCCTCCTTGCCTCCTCATCTCCTTCCCTCCTCCTCTCCTCCTCCCCTCCTCTCCGTCTTCCCTTTAACCTCCCTCCTCCCTTTCCTCCTCCTACCTCCTCCCTCCTCCGCCTCCTTGCTCGTCTCGTCCACCCCACCCCTCCCACCCCCCCTGAGGGGTCATCCGGCAACGTTGCGAACTCAGCCCCTTTTTTGTTTTTTTTCTTTTTTTTTTTTTTTATTTTTTCTATTATTTTATTTTTTTATTTTCTTCTTTTTATTTAGTTTAGTTGCTTTTTATTGTTTTTTATCTTTTTTTCT